AACACGTCAGCAACACGTCAGGAACATGTCAGTGTAAAAAGCTGTAAAACAGATGTGATCTGTCAGGAGAACGTCTTCGTTTGGATTAAACTGAGATCTGCTTTGTTTTTACATGTATGACTGGTTTGGACAGGGGGTGTGTGTGTGTGTGTGTGTGTGTGTGTGTGTGTGTGTGTGTGTGTGTGTGTGTGTGTGTGTGTGTGTGTGTGGGGGTGTTCATGTGTTTCTGATCAGCCTCCACGCTGCTTCATGCCGTAATGTTTTCATCCTCCTCGTGACCTCGTTATGTGTCTGGGAGGAGGAGGGCGGCATGATGTCATGAAGGCGGGCCCTCGCTCTCCCTCACACACACACACAAGCACTCTTACCCTCACTTTACCCCCTCACTTCCTCTCTCTCTTCCCTCGTCTTCCTCGCCTCTTCTTCACCCCCCCCCCTCCCACAGCGGCACCAGCAACGTCTCAGCGTTCCTCCGCCACGACTGTCGCTCAGAATCAATTTAGAGACAAACGAATGCAGAAACACGAAACTGTAAAACGTTGTCTGATGTTGTGTTCGTTGTAAAGATGTTAGACTTCACTGGTCGACGCACATTTAGACTCGTGTAGAGTTTAGTGGCAACTGGTGAGCAGCCACAGCTGGAGAGGAGAAGAACAAGAAGAACAAGAAGAAGAAGAAGATAAATAAAGATGGACGCCATGTCTGCTCCCAAACATGAAGCCAAAACAACAACAACAGGAAGAAGAAGGAAAAAGGAAGAAGACGGAGATGAGGGAGGAGTCAAAGTTGAAGAAAATGATGAAGACGTAGAAGATGGTGAAGGAGAAGACGAAAATATAAAGAAAAAGAAGAAGATGAAGAAGAATGATCAGTCTCACCTGCAGAAACTCGACAGATTTACAGACGTGTTTAAGTTTTCATTTAAAAGTTGATTTTATTTATTGATTGATCTTCATCTTTGATATTTAACATCATATCTTCAACGTACCGAAACACATGTATGTCACACGTGTCGTTCTGACCATGGTTCCCTCCTGTTGCAGAGAGCGTGCGGGAGGCCGTGGGTCGGAGGGTGAAGCTGACCCTGAGGCGCAGAGTCCAGCTGGAGGTCAAAGGTGACAAGGTGGAGAACAGAGTGCTGGTGAGTGACGGTGGAGTTCTAAATGTGACCCTGAGCGTTTGAATTCAGGCGGATCTGAAAGGTTTAGCCGTGCACCACATGGACGCACGTGATCTGAGGCAGCAGGTCTCTGGTTCGACTCCTGGACGTCATCCCCCTCTCTCCACACGTTCATCAACAAACGCTTAAAGCCACAAAAAATACATATGAACTAGAACGTCACTGAATCTGAAGCCACGTTTAAATCTGCTGGATCGCTTTATTTAAGAGTCCACACACGACCAACACGTGCTGATAATAGATCAATATAATATATCTATTATTTGAAGAGATCAGTTAAAATAATAGATATAAAATCATTACAATGTTTCCTAAAGGATTTCTTTGAGCAAGTTAAAACTAAATAAAACATTCATTAAAGTTTTTTTGACAGAAAGCGTCCGGGACTTTTGGGAACAGTGGTTAAGATCCAGGTGCTTAGATCCAGGAGGGGCGGGGCTTCACAAAACGTCATGGAAATCTCTTCAGTAGTTTTTCAGTAATCCTGAGAAATGAACACAGAACCCCCTCAGCTGAGCTAGTCATTCATTCACTCCGGAAGACAAACGTCCTCTCTGGTGTGGACGTGTCTCTGCAGGTCGAGACTTCAAACTTGAACAGAGGGTTTAAGTTTCTGAGACGTCAGGAGGAGAAGAGATTTAACGCTGTGACCTGCAGCGATGGTTTCTTCTCCTCGTCTGGGCCCGGGTGGTTCTGTTGTGCTGCTTGTGACTCGTGTTGACGCGTCTTCAAGAGGCCGCGTGCGGTTGTTAAATACCTGGAATGGCGGAGGCGAGAGAAGCTGCTGCTGTGAGTCAGGATCTGATGGTCAGAGTCACAGCAGCTCTTCCCTGTTTTCTCCTCGTTCACAGATCCGTCATCAGGATCTTCAGGATCTCTGCACCTCGTTCGGGATCCAGTTTAAACGATTGTGTTCTTTTTCATGGTAATTGTAAAAGTGTAAAAAAGTGAGAAAACGACAAACCAGCCTGTTTCTTCATGAAACTCTTTTCAGGCCTAAAAAAACCAAACTGACTTCTCATCTGTGTCTTTATTTATCCACTGGTTCCAGGAACCTTCCGCCTGCGTGTGTCTCATCATCTCATCAGCCTCACGTGTGCGTTGATCCGAGGGAGCGAAGTGTTAAATTTAGTGATTGTGACACGTTTAATATTTATAAAAAAACAGAGGTGACCAGCGCTGTGTAGCAGACGTCTGTCTTCTTCTAGTTGTCGGCTAAAAACTGTCCCACAGGATCCTTTTGATAATAAAATCAAATATACGAATGAATGTGAAGCGAAGGTTTCCTCTTCGTCTGGACGACGGAGCCGATAACATCCCCGGAGAAGAACCAAGTCCTGAATTCACTTTAGTTCCAGCGTCATTGTTCCTCAGCGCTCCGAAGTTCAGCTCAACACACTTTTTAAAACCTTCCAGCACATACCTCCACTCTGCAGAATGTGCTCCTGTCGGGACTTGACTGAAGCAGCTCATAACAGACACACACACAGACACACACAGACACACACACACACACTAATGCACAATGAGTGGTGCAGAGTATTGCCTCCGTGCCTCACAAGTGTTTTTTTGTGTAAATGAAACCTTTCAGTTGAGTTCCCGTCAGAAACACGCAGCCGTGCCTCTCGTCCGTCTGAACATGAAAAATACAGAAGGTGCATTCGGCTTCAAATCTAAAATGAAGAATGAAACTCAAACAGACGAAGAAGTAACTCAGCAACACAATCAGAAATAAAACACACAAACACGATCGTGACAGTTACAGACGGATCAAAACCTTATTACATAGAAACCATCTCTGGAATAACTTTGGTGGAGACGTGGAGGAGGCCACCAGGGGGCGATCTAATTCGGCTCGGTGAACTTTCTCTCCAACAACCAAACCAAGCGCTGTCATCGCAAACGTTTGCTCCTCCCCGTGCTCCCGTTACCATAGCAACCCCACAGGTCCTGAAAGACGTGTTTATTCACAGTCTGTTTTTTTACCAACGGATTTAATTGCAAAGTAAATCTTATTTATTTTATAATTTATCTCATGTTGTGTTTAACGTCTTTGTATTTTTTTATATCATCATATTTCGACCACGTGAGTTTCCTGTTGAGAATCGTCGTCGCTGTGATCAGCTTCAGTTCATCGCACGATTTGACGAGCGAACACTTGATCCTCTAGTTCTTCAGCTGCTGGTCTCAACCACAGGATCTAAACCCGTTGCTCCAGATGCTGCTCGCCGGGCGCCGTGCTCCAGATGTTTCCCCGGTGCACATCTGTTTTCCTGTCATGTGCTCGGTCTGTGCACTTCGTGCTCCCTCACACTCGTCAGTCTGCGCGACACGTTTCCAGACTTTAGAAACAGACAGGCCCCGCCCCCCGGCCGGGTCGACGTCTCGCCCCCATTGGCCGACACCCCCTCCCGCTCTGTCTTATTGGCTGTTGTCTGACCTCACACGACCCCGGGTGACCTCGCTCAGCTGTCCTCCCTCCGTTTCTTCCTCTCATCGTGTCTCTTTTTATTTTCTCCTCTCCGTCACTTTCAAACCAAAACTCAAACACTGATGAAAAATAACGAAATCCTCGTCGGTGAGAAATGCAGCGAGCGAGCGAGCGAGCGGCCACATCGTGAAGTCGCTCTCGTCCAGGACAGATGTTCAACACGTGGTGACAGATGATATATGACGTTATCCCGCTCAGTGGAAAACGTTCCAACTGTTTCACAAGTAAAAATAGACGAAGCTGTCGGTCGAGAGGGAAACGTTCGCTCCGCCCACACGTTTACTCACTTATTTCTTTTTTCAGACCAAACTGGGATTTTTAAAAATGTATAATTTATTTATGGATCCAGAAAACAGAGCGTTTGTCCCCAGAATGAACTCGAGACGTGTAAACCTGGAAAATAACTTTATTAACTGAACACTTTTGTTCAGAAGGTCTGTTTATGTTGATTGTAAGAATATAAATGTTTAATCAACTGATTTAACTTGTAAAAATTGGGACTTCTATGTTTTGGGTTTGTTTCACGTTCACATGGACTCAAAGATGCACTGATTAGATTTCGGTGCTCGAAGGTCAAAGGTCACGGTGACCTCACAGATCCCGTTTTTTAACCTTGTGAACAAGATATCTCAGGAAACACTCGAGGGAATGATTTCAAATCAGTCGTACGTGTTCACTTGGACTCAGGGATTAATTGATTATAATTTGATGATGAAAAGTCAAAGTTCACGTCTGACTGTCGTCTGTCTCTGTCCCCAGGCGCTGGCGTCCCATCGAGCCTTTCTGCTGACGGCTCGGGTCCCGTCCAAGGTTTGTTTTTTTTAAAAGCTCAGTCATTTCTTGAATCCAGCGACGCAAAGTTTCCTCCTGTTTGAGTTCAATCAGCCGAAAACCCTTTTTGACATCTGCTGACCAACAGTTTATTCATTTATCCCCCCCCCCCCCCACATTAGTTCAGTGTTCTCCCTCCCCCCTCTCGTTCCTCAGCTCTCCTCTGTGTCTCTGTCCAGATGAGAGCAGGTCCCACCATATGGAGATATTTGATAGTTTTACCCACAATGCAGCTGTGAGAACGCAGCCTGTGGGAAAGGAAAACACTGAGAGGAAGAGAAGTTCGAGAGAGAGAGAGAGAGAGAGAGAGAGGTTTATTCTCATATTATCTCCGATGAATATAAAAGAGTTAGATATTGTGTCTTTAAACGAAACAGTGGGATATTAAGACTTTTCATCTTCGGCCAAATCTCATTTCAAACACGTCACAAAAACTATTTTTGAACATTTCGTACATTTTATTTCCTGAATTCACGATCATCAGAGTCTTAAAATAATAAAAAGAGAAGTGAACTGACGCATGTTTCTAAAACTGTTTCCTGTTTCTCTGGTGAACGTCCAGGTTTACAACTACTGTGAAACACGAATCTGTGGGAAAGGTTTTGTAAAATCTGCCTCTTCATCGGTTCACACGTTTATATTTACGCAGAAACCCGAAACAGGAACCACGTCCACTCTGGTGGTTCCTGAGACTCTTTATTCTTCTGCTGCGATAAACATTTTTTATAGCCTGCGGAAAAAAAGATCAGTTCAAAACCAAAATGAACATCATTTTACAACCAGCTCTAAAAAACCACTTCGCTCTTCGTCGTGATGTGAATCTTGGGAACAGACGATTTCACATCTCAGGAAATTTGACCTCGAGAGGAGACGTGAATGAACTGTGACTTTTATTTCAGAGGAAATAAGAATCACTTGTGTTTGGTCCGTGAGTTCCATCTTTCGCTCTCTCGGGTTTATGCTGAACAAACTGTTGGTTATCAGATAACCTCTGCGGCGGCTGACCCCCGGTCTGCTGAGAGACAGACGCTGCTCTGTTCCTGGTGTGAAGGAAAAAAGACAATGGAGGAATTCAACAGCTGGCAAGGAAAAGAGAGAGAGAGAGAGAGAAAGGGGTGGGGGAGGCGTACTGTTTCTCTGTGTCCCTCGCCCTCTCTCGCCCCCCCCCCCCTCGTCCTCTCTTCCTGTCCGACCTTGTATCCACCCTCCTCCTCTCTCTCTCTCTCTTTTCTTTCTCCCACTTTCTCTTCCCACATAGTCAACTCCCTTTCATTTGTTCCCTCTCTTCTTCCACCTTTTACTTTCTTTTTCACAGCTCTACCTTTTCCCTCGCTTGTTTTTTTCTCCCCCTCCCTTCCTCTCTCTCTCTCTCTCTCTCTCTCTCTCTCTCACTTGCTCTGTTTTGGCAGCGAGTTCGGACTCCACCATTATTTTTACTTTCTCTCTCTCGAGGGGAAATGTGTGTGAGGTTCAGCTGAGCTCCGGACATTTGTTCTGCAGACTATTTGCAGCTTGTGTTTTTTTTACAGTCCTATTCCTGTGATTTACTTTTTATTCCTGAGCCTGTGGTTTGTCCTTGTAATGATTCCCAGCTCCACATTTATCAGAATAAACTGGAAATCTGTTTCTGATGAATTCAAATTAATCCCAGCAACAGTCTCTTTAATTCTCCACCAATCTGTCACATTCATTCAGACTTATTTCCGAAACTATTCAAGATAAATACAAACTGTTGAATTTTACATTTAGCAGCTACACACTGGTGCTAGTTACAGGTTTGTTCTATCTGCTACCGTTTAATATGATTCTGCTCATCTTCAGGTCACTTTGCTGACGAACCAGCTCATAAAAGTTGATAAAAGCTAACGGAGACGACACAAGGGACACGTGTGTCCTCATGCAGAAGAGCGGGCTAATCTGATCGGCTAATGTTTATTGAATTCAGATGTGAAGAACAGTTGGAGCTTTGTGGGCTTGAATCCAGACTTCAGACGTCTGACGCATGTTTTTATCTCACACAAGTTTTTTTCTCGGCACTTTGAAAGATCAGAGGTCAAAACAATAAAGTCATTTAACAAGAAATCTGTTTATATATAAATCAACAAATATATCTTCGGTTCATCATTGGAATGAATCGATAATAAAACAGATGATGTAGTCGTCTGTGAAATCTTTGTGCATCTGAGTCAAAAGTGACTTTTTATCCAGTTCAGTCACATTTTCACCAAAAACTTGTTTTTGAGTTAAAGATTTTTAGTCGTCGGACGTGAAAAACATCTTCATCTGTTTGTTTTTGTTTCAGGTTGAACATTCCTTCAGTTACCTGGACATTCAGGGGATCAGCAGCAACAAGCCCACTCAGGTGCACACACACACACACACACA